GATTACCTGGGTTCTGAAGATGGCACTTATGAACATTCCTGGTTTCATTTGTTATTTTTTTTTTTTAGAAATTGTTTAAGGGAGAGCCAGCATCCTGCAAAATAACAGGCTGCTCTCAAGCCTAATCTTAACGCCTTGAATGATGTTACCCGGTTGGGTAACGAAACGTCTGCAAGCAAACAGCCAAGCTCAGAGAGCACCAAGGACTCCATGTAGATAGATCTGCTTCATGATGACCTGTCCCCAACCTGTTCTTTCAGGCCACCCAAGGGTGCCCCCATTGCCACTGTTACTGAGTCTATCTCCCTTGCTGCTGGTTGCCCTTTTCTTCTCTTTCCTTCCCCCTTTCCCAGCATCAGAGCCTCCAAAAAGTTGGGTCTTCACATAATGTGTCTGAAATAAGATAATTTCAGCCCAGTCATTTATGCCTCGAGGGACAACTCTGGGATGATTTGTTCTCTGATCCATTTGTTTTCTCAGCTGTCCATGGTATTCTCAGGAGTCTTCACCAACCCCCAAGTTCAAAGGCGTCAATACTCTTCCTATCCTGCTTCATCAAAGTCCAACTTTTGCTTCCATCATGTGTCACAGGGAATACCCTGGCTTGCACGATTCTGATCTTTGTAGGCATAAACACATCACGGCCTTTGACTATCTCTTTCAAGCCCTTCATGGTTGCTTTACTAAGTGCTAGTCTGTGGTGTATTTCTTGACTGCTGGTTCCTTTACTGTTGATGGTTGATCCTAAAAGGCAGAAGCGGTTTTGTCATTTGCCCTTCCTGCGATCCCAAGGTAGCTAAATGGCATAATGCAAATATGTGTGTGTCTATATCCACATCTACAGTCATATCTAGGAGCCAGGTTGGTGTAAGTAGTGAAAGGGCTGGACTAAAGGTGAGAGACCCAAGTTGTGGGGAGACCCAAAAGTGGGGAAATCGCAGTCACAGAAGCTCCCTGGGGGACTCTGGTGTGGAAAATGTTCGCTGGGAGCAGAGGCGGGGCAGTGATTTTTCCATCTTGTTCTCCAGGCATTAAAGTTGCCCGGTGGAAGCCAACCCGTGACCGCCGGCCAACCGCTCGGAGGAACCGGAGAACAGACGAGATGCCCCGATGGTAGGCACCGTCGTCCGCGGCAAGGGTTAAAACCACCGACTCCTAGAGAGCCAGGCTTTAGGAGGACGGGGGTGTTTTCTCCACCACCCAGAGGCTCCAGTTCCATTTCGAGGGGGCTGTAGCTACACTTCAGATCCCAAATCGGGGTCTGAGCGCCGCTGGTCGCTGCGGCGTAGGCAGGATGCTCCCGCCCGCGGGAATTCGAATCCGGACCTGAAAAGAGGTTCGCTGTGGACGGCTGGCTTTTCCTTCTCCTTCACGCGCCTTGGCTGGGACCGTCGGCTTCTTCTGGCCCCCTTATTTCTCCGCGAGGGGGAAGAAGCCGGCTTTC